ATCACCCACATTTTATGCTTTTTTATAAGTAAGCAACGTTTTATTGTATCTGAAGTGTAAGTGACTCTGTACGTGTCCTAGTTATAACTAAGGAACCCTTTCATATCTAATTTAAATGTTAATCAGCTTTTTAAAATCAAAATTTACTGATATTAAAAATCTATGATGTATTTTCTTATACTGGTACTGACTAACATTAACTGTACTTATATGTTATATTAAAAATGCGATTATGACATGAAAAATTCTGTAGACTTCATAAAACATTATTGTCTTTGACAAGAAAATTTTGCTGTGTACCGGATACTTGTATATAAAGTTAGTTTTTATAACATTAGAGTCTTTTTAAGCCTTATAATAAAATACTGCCAAGTTACGTTACAAATTCTTAGTGAAGATATACTCGTTCCAGCAATAATATTTATTTTGTTTCCAAGAAAAATTTTGTTTAACCATTGTGTAAGCGAAATGAAACTCTTCCAATCCTTCGTAATAACTGTAGTTAATTGCAAGTGTTATTATGACCGAAAGAGTGAATGAAATTTTAATTACATTAGCAATCCTAAAGCACTCACTGTTTATTTGAAAATGTTGCTTTGTAATATTATATAAAACAGATTTTCTTCTTTTGAACGAATATACGATGAGAATTTTCTCATCATGTATTTTTTAAACAAATGTTGCTTTTATTAACTGGACCTAGGAGAAAAGAGTTTGTAGGTTAGTTTTTCACACTACTAAAAATGTGTATGTATAAAACTTTTATTTTTGAATTATAACTGGATTTTGCTTGATTGTTATTCCACCAATGGCTACATACCTAGCTACAATATAATATGTACATATTAAAATTAACTATTTATGAAGCAAACTATTACCTAACTCTAGCGACACATTCAAAACTCTCCACTCATAATTGAAGTTTCATCCGGTGTGAGGACGGTCGTCAATGAAAAGATGGATCCTCGTTATGCTTTTGGTGAACCATAGTAAAATAAGGATGGAGAAATTATACATGTTATTCCTCCACACACGTTTCAAAGTGCAACCTATAAAATACCGATACCTAATTTATTTCATTAATTTACGAGTATCTAATGGGTGGAAACTGTGGCAGCGGCCGATGTAATGTCCTCTAAAGTACTTTCTGCTTTAGAATATTTTCTTTTGAAGCGAAAAAAAAACTTATGTTTGCAAAAAAATATATATATTCTCCTTTGCATAGGAAGGAATTGCAAAACTAATCTTTATATTTATAAAATACATATATGTAAATACTGACATTTTAATATATACTAATAATAATGAAATCATGTTATAAATACACAATTTTTTGTATTTTAAAATCGTTTTACTCTTTCTGTAATATTTTAGAAGAATTTCAGAAACTAAATTCATGTGAGAATAACCCTAAATATCATCGGCTACACGTCCGTCTCGATAAAAACGTCAAATATGCTGTATATATACCGTATATGTAGATTAAATTACCAAATCAAGTCTCTGTACGACTTCTTATTTGGTATAACGACTGCCATGATATACAAATTTTATATGAAAATGCAACGTGATATGTATTTTATATAAACTTAACTCATGCTACAACCACCAGCCATTCACTTAAATTAACATCTTACATGTTAAATCATAAAATAATTAAGTGTTTCAAGAAATATCCTTAAGTTAAAATTCGGTCTGAAAATCTCTTAACAAAACATTATAAAGCTTCTTATGTAGGGCACCTTGTGTAGGTAACTGTTTTACTTACCATCTAAGATAGTCATATGAAAAATCTTTGATAGTTTTAATTTTTGCTTGATGACTATTTGTATTTTATAACGCAAACTTTAGTTGATATATGTATAATCATCTGAAACATACATATTATGAGAAAAATTTGCTATTTTGGTTTCAGATCAAGTTTGATAATATAAGCGAGGGATCATGAAATCAGTTTGATTTGTTATATAACTAATTAACTTATAAACATAACAAAATCCTTTTATTTATAATAGCAATCGAAAAACTTATGAAAAAATAAATAATAGCAATAGAATTTTATCAATCAATTCTTTTGTAATATATCTTTGATCTGAGTATTTAAGATGGACAACATATTACTCCTATGTATGTAACAGTCCTTTCAAAAAGTTTTAAAAGATAGCTCGTATTATTTGAATAAACGGTTTATGCTAAGATTGGTTCCACAACATCTCTTCTTAAATCCATATATGTAATTTCTTACACTTTAAAGTATATTATAAATAGAAGAACATTCAGTAAAACTTTTTCATTTGTGTGATAAATTGTTTAGAACTATCGACAGTAATTCATGCAAATATTAATTTAAAAAGCACAAAACCTCTGTCAGGTCAAGTTGATGTAAATAAAGGTGTAGAATTGTCAAGCGGGACAGATGTTTGAGATATATGTTTTTCACTAGCATACATTCAAAATGAAACTTTGTTTTCGAGTAATAATGCCTTATTTACTATTTTCTTTCATATTTTACCAGACGTATTGGATACTTTACAGAGACCGTGATCAAGGCAGGCGAGATGGAAGAGTCTGTCAATTAGTTTCGTTACTTCTCATCTAAAGCCACCAATTTCTTCAATGATGAGAATGTAGATTACTCTTGTATAATTTTTTTTTCATCCATTTACATAAAGTGTTACAGTTTCTATAACGGAAATTTTTATTGACAATAAATTGAAGTAAAAAGGCCCAAAGAAGCGTTTATCGTTTGGATTATTTGCTTTTCTATAAAATCTCTTCTGACACAATAAACGGAAAGATTGAATTCCCAGAATTGTTGTTAAATAAATTGTTTAACTGTTATTATTATGAGATTTTATAATAATTAACTTTACGCTTTATTCACTGATTGTAATAATGATTGTTCAGACTTGTCAAAGTATACAATAATTATATAGTGTAGTATATTGATGTATGTATAAGTATTTAATTCTATAAAAAGGTTACAAACGTGTGTATTCTGGGTCATTTTCATTTAATGTCAAGTTAATTTTATTCGACTGTCTCCAAGTTTCCCTGAGTCTTAACATTAAAAGCTTCCAGCAACAGAAACTTTTCTACGTATCAAGTAAACAACGTGATTTCATTTTTCTGACCGAATTAAGTCGTATTGAACAGTATATTCTCAAAAAAGTAAGGAGGTTACTATATAATAGACGTTTTAGCTTTATGCTTAAATACAAAATTATAGTTTTGTTTTAATTAAATATATTTTCTTTTATTAAATTACTCATATTTTTGTAGCAAATATTATAGAATATTGTAAGGCTTGTAGAATGTACTGTAACAAATTCACGTCTTTCATGTTACTTTTTGTACGTCTTCATTTGTAACTATAAGTAGCATTTTATTCATGTGTTATTTTAAAATAAAATTTTATCACCTTTAAATATTTTACAATTAACGAAATCATATATTTTTTGTAATATCAAAGATTTTTGCTCGTATATTTTATTAGGTGTAAATTAATGGTTACAGATCGTACCATCAAAAAATATTACACAATATCCTGAATCAATTTAGAGATCGTGAGAAGAGTCAAGTGTAAGTGGTTGTTATGTGTGATTACCGTCAGCTTGTAATAACATAACTATCTATCATGTTTTTCAGAACATCGTTTTATTATACCAAGAATATTGAAAAAATACGATTCTAAGATAGCGAAGTATGCTTAAGATTAAAAGAAACATAAGCCAGTGTGCTTTAGACCACACGACTGAAGTAAAACATCTCTTTTCCATCTATATGTAATGCATATATGTAAAGACTTTAGCTCAAAATAAGGTACTCTATATTTAGTAAGGCTAGCTATTTTGTAACTTTTCTTCTTTAAATGTTATGAAATAAATAACACATTTGTTATAAATGGAATAGTTTGTGATCATGTATGTATATAAGGATGATAGTTATTTCTTCGTGTACAAAATACTCAACAGGATTTTATAAAATTTTGTATAACTTAGCATATTGCTATGCTTATTAGCAAACATAACAGATGTATTGTACACAAGCTCCTAGACGTGATGTGCCAAAGATTGTAAAAGTTATTGCTAGTAGATTATCAGATCCCTTAAAATTTTTAAAAGCATTACATTACTCTCTGTTCGTAAACACGAAGTGCACGCCGAAGAAGTCGCGGGCAAAACCTATTTACCTTATAAAAGACGCTTATATGCAATTCCCTTATTACCAGAGGGAAGCTAATAAGTTATAATAAAACATTGTCTGATAACTTCTTGTAGTAATAAGATGATATGAAAGTTACTTATGTTTCGTCCTTCAATATATTTTGTAAACTATATTTAAATTGCGAAGACGTTGAAAACAATTTGACCAGTTCATATCATACAATGAGGTTTCATTAATGTGTTTTTTGCCGTTATAAAACATTTTTATTTATGAAAACAAGCTATAGTTTATAGACTACTTATTTGTGTTTAAATACTCGTATATACTACCGCGCACCAGGTATATAGGGCTACCTCTCATGCACGAGCGCGCGGGGTCGATCCTGGCCCTGGCAAGTACCAATGTGATTTTTCCGAGTCATATGTACTTTCTAAGAGTATTTTTACATCACTGATTAATGAATTCCGAAAAAGGGTTGATGTCAGGCAGGCGGCCGGTCGTAAAAACAATTAGCCAAAACTATTCACAACATGTAAGGCAGACCCTGGCTAAAGCTGAGAAATTGCTAGGTGGAAGAAGAAGATACTCGTATATACCAAATTCTTTTAAAATCTTCATAAATAATGTAAATATTATTCTTTTATAGTTTTAATATTTATTTATGCTTGCAACACTCAAAAAACACATTCTTAGGCTATAAACTGCTAATTATAATTGAAATCTGTGAATCTAAGCGAATAACTATTTTGAAACACCATTTTAAAAATTGCACACACATTAACATAGTCTTATTAAATCAACGATTAAAGAATAGATTGATTTCAATTTATCCGTTACTTAGACTTGTTGTTATCGTTAAATTTCTTAATTAAAATCTCCCCCACAAATACTAGAGTCGACAGGCAAGATCCTAATCCTAATAAATGCCACGGCACTAGAACTTCTAGCTCCTTGCTATCCTTGGTTTTAAACTTATAATGTATTTGGAACTCCCTATACAGTCGTGACATGTGAGCGTTGATCATACCATTTTCTCTCACTCGCAACGCGTGCATTTGAAGTTTGTCGATAAATGGGAAACCTTTGTAGAAGTAAATGCAGTTCAGGGAACTGTAAATTGGTTTGTCTAATTTGTACATCGTTTCCTCTCCGTATTCGTTGTAATAGTCTAATTTATAATATTGGTATTTATGAAAATGCACAACCGTAAAATATTCGTGCTCCGACTGACTGACAAATTGTATGCTGTCTAAATATAACTTACACTGTTCACGTGTTTCAAACCGCTGTTTATCATGTAACGTTGCCTCTATGTAGTCTAATATGGTTTCACTCACACAAGACTTCAGATTATATCTTTCCAGGTCCTCCACGGTAGCGATTTGGTGTTCCATTAATGGGTGGGTCGTGACACTCGAGAAGGTGGATTGATAGTAGCTACTGAAGAAGTAAGAACACCAAACCCACGCTATGAATATGGATCTCTTGAAAAAGCTGCCCCGAATACCTGTGCCGCTACTAAACATGAATGATAGCATCTTCAGAACAACCCAAGATTTATCCTTAGGGCGAAAAAATAAAACGAATAGCAGAAAATACAATAGAAATATGAGGAATAACGTTAACCAAACGTCTACTTGGAATACCAAATACATGTTTCTCCAAGGCTGCACTCGCCCTGCTTTCTTCACCAGGTACACGAGCGAATCTTGGTCCAACAGGTGTAAATATATGAATTCAAACATGTCCGTCCTTGCCTCCACTAACACCAGTCCACCAAATACCATGTCGGCTCCATTTTGTACAAAACTCAACGGTCCATCAATTGACATATTTTCGGATATTGTCGAGAATTTTTCTCCATCACCGATAAAAGTTACGTTAATGTGTTGACGCCACATTGAAAGTGCAGTTCCTTAAGCCAGTTATTAGTTTGTCAGGGTACAGGTCTTTGGTATACGATTTAGAACATTTCCCCAAATCAATTATTCTATCGTATCGTCGACCGCATCCAAAGTTCTCGAATGGATTGTATGTGTAGATGTCAGGATCCGCAGTGCTGTTCAGGATAAGTATATTGATGACGTGATACCTTAGTAAAATATCAAATACATTATAAAGGTCGTGCACGTTGAGGTTTTTTATAAGAATTAAGAATCGCGTGGTAGGATTCCAGCGTCTTTCATAAACAAGGTATCTGAACTGTTTTATAAAATACGTAGAACTGTTTGCATCAATTACGTAGTGTTCATTCAGTATAGTCATATTACTTTGCGGACTCCGCGATATTATTGTTTTCAATTGCATTGTGTTCAACACTTTCACAAGCTCGTTATCATTTCCCATGTGAACCAAACTTATGGTGTTGCTACGTTTGAAATACTTTTTGACTATGTTGCCAATGCATTTTCCTTTCGAATCCTTCGTACGAATGTCTTCTATTCCCCCTTTAACCAAAGACGTACATAATAAAAAGATAAAACTTAGTAATAGCATCTTACCAATGACACAAGTCGGACTGTGTTCAAAAATTTTCATTTCTTTCTTCATTTCCTATAAGACCGTACATATTTCAATCGTTCGTTATTATTTACAACAATCTTCTTTCTCTATAAATAAAAGTGTTTGAACGTCTGTGAGGAACGAAATGAAATAATTTTAGTTCGCTTCGGCAATATTTGAATACTAACTTGATACCTATCTACATATATTATAATAATATACGTGTAAGCTAGTAATATCCTTCGAATATAATTTCACGGACTATTGTACTATGTTACGATGAATTATATTTCTTTATTAACTACTACACCGACCGCAACTTTGTCATGTCGGAGTCATAGAAAGTCAGTAATAAATCAATATTTCGTCTATAAAATTTCGATAAGCATCAAAAATCACAGTAGAAATTATAATAAAAAAATCATCATGAAAACCAAAGGGACAACACTTTTAACCGACTTCCAAAAGCAGGAATCTGTAGCGTCAACTTTACTTTCATCTTTTATATTCAATTTTAAACAGTAACATTTTAGTTTTGAAATACTTTATTGTTTTGGAGTATCAATTATTATTAAAGGACAAAAAAATAATTAAATGTTAAAAAATTAATAAAAATAACATATGATTTAAAAGTAATTCAATGGTAAAAAATAAACAATTTGATTTCAGTCATTGTAAATAATATGGCGATATAAATTTCAACCTAGTTATTTCTGTTGTTTTAAATAGATTAATAAACCGATAGAGCACTGGCTGGTAAATAAACAATAGGGACCTTTCACCTCAGAAAATAACAATGACGTTTCAGAGCGAACATATTTGGAACACCATACGAAGTCATCAACAAACAAAATTATCTCTTTAATAAACATTAATGTTGCTTTATTGACTATTTTTGCTATTATTTTCAATTTGCTTCATGACACAATTAATATTATATTTGTTTAGTACGCGCTACAAATTAATAAACAATGAACATCGCCGGGGCTACATCTTTGTATCGGTAAAATATCATATGTATAACGAGTGACGCCGCTGACTCTGCGGAACGAACACCGAGCCGTATGAACAAGAATATTCCTTACACCATACAAGCAATAGAATGTTATTGTCATCCTAACCTCGGGGCAATCGTGTAGTCTTAGGTAAAGGTTATAAGTTTTAACATGTAATTCTTATTTTAATATACATATAAGTATGTTTCATAGTTTTCCAGCAACCTCCGGTTGCTACCCTGTATTATTTAATTAATTATCATGTTTGGTCGTTGCAAACAAAATATTTTGTTTATTATTTCGTAATATTTTAATATTTTAATTCGATTTACCCGATCTGAAACTTATAAAAGCACACTTATGTGGTTTAATAAAGAAGGCTACAATTCTGCGAAGTCGGTGTTTGATAAAATCTGTCATATTTTCACGTTAGCAAAGAAATATCACATTTATTGTATAAATATAAACCAATATTGCCTTGGAGTTCTTTACAAAGCAATAGAACTTTAAAGTTATTCTGTCACTAAGCATCGTATTTATGATTTCTCCGCTAGAGCACTATAGCTTGAAAAATATTGAGTGGTTTGAATAGAATCACTAGATAATATATATCAGCTTTTGTTTAGCTGTTATATGAATTTCTAATAAATAAAATTCTTTTTTAAATATTTATAAAAACAACAAGATTGCAAACTTTAAGAACAATTACAATAATTTTTAAATAAAAGAGTAAGTTCAAACAGAAAACCAAAAAAAAAACTTATAATAAAGAATTGGATGGTTAAATACAATTAACAAGGTATATAATACTTTCTATTCCCAAAATAGTGCGATAACTTGAACTACGATAGTGAAAAGCAGACAGATATTAGAATAAGCTACGATATTAGACAGTAGAAGTGATATATCCAAAATTTGATCATAAGATCGTAGTGTCCATATCACGGTACATCCCATTGGCATCTATCTATTTTACAGCATAGAAAGGTTCATAAATAATTAAGTTATCCATGAACACACAAAGAATGTGGTATTATTGAGCAACTTGCTCTTCTTTGCAATCGATTCAAAATTATTTTATTTTGTTATACAACTTTTAAAGATAAATATAACTTATATGTCTCTTTAAAACTGTACTTGCGCTACGAAAATAAATTAAAATAAATCTCAGAGCTAAATTTATAAGACTATAGACAAAGCTGCAATCTAGTTTTAAGAATTTCCTTATTAATTCATTCGTTAGTTCGTTCTTTTATTCCTTTCCCTATTATCCATTCGAAATACTTACATACATTTGAAGTGTTTCTATTTTTCACATTTTTTATTTACTACACGTCACGCGGGATTAGCTGTATAGTTTCGACGAATTTAATAAATAATGAGATATTTAATTTTTATAAGAAACTGTCGATGATTATAAAGATTATTGTGGATTCTAAATCTTTGTTCTAACTACAATCTGTATAGGTATATAATTAATTTAAGGTAAAATGTACCTACCCAATAATGACATAGAAGATATATCAATATTGCTCAAAAAATCCTAATATCAACATAACAAGGATTACTAATAAGTATGTACGTATATAGAACTTTAGTCGAAATAGGACTACAATAAAAATATTATCTTGTTTAAGCATTTCAAAACAATCTTTTGTAAAGAAAACAGGATGAATATTATTTTATATTACATACATATATCACCTATCTTTGTATGTCTTTCACTATAATGTAAATATCTAACTACATATGTCATTAAATTGTTATAAAATTTTGAAACAACATTTAAAACAGTTCGCATATCGGAATCTAAAGTTGTAACAAATATTTTATAAGCCTTCATTTCAAATTTTTTCTTTCATCTGTACTCAACAAACCGGATCACGTAGAACTTCAAATCATATACAACAATAATTCAAAGTATCCTAAGTACAAGTCGTAGCTTTTACTTAAACACTGACAGTTTGACTATAGTTAATATGGAAATATTTGGAGAAAATGTGTTTGATGAATTACATAATAAAAAAACAAAGCAACTTCAGATGTTGAATGACTCATGAAAGGGGATAGTCCTTAGTACAAATATAAAAAAGGATTTAAATTAAACATGATAAAGCTAAAATCTTCACACAGACTAAGTTCATTTATTGTAAGCTTTATTACAATGTTGTTTAATGTTGTGGGAAAAAATGACAGGTATGATACAATATAGATACTATTATTCCGTTGTTTAGATTTTTATAGTCAGAGTTACAGTTCTTTGGATTGAATTTTAAGTTTATAATTATCATTATTTCTTTATTCTTTAATAATTTATTTGTCACGCTTACACGACCGTACGTCACCGTCACATGGAGGCCTCTGAAAATCAGTGCTGGGATAGTATTATGCCAGCTTTTACTGATGGGGTTTTCCATTTTGGATGCCACACCAGTTCAAAATTTATTTGCTCTTTCTTTTTATTTTAGTCTATTTAGTTATTGTAATTTTTTTATTTTTCCTTTTTTTTATATCTTTGTGGTAGTTAATCTATTTTAGTTTATATAATTTAATTTAGATTAAGTAAACATAATTTTTTTTTGTAATTATTCTTGTAAGTTAACTATAAGTTTTTTTTTGTTTAATTATTATTATCCTTTTTTTGTATTTTAATATTTCCTTATTGTTTATATTTTATTTTTCTCATGTTGTGGTGTGGACCAAATAAAGTTTTTATCTATCTATCTATCTTTAACGCAACATACATACAACACACGCACGCACGCACGCTGTCCTACGTACGGGGACATAGACACAAATTCCAGTAACAATAGTACAGTTTTGGATTAATCAGAACAATGCTTGTGAAGGAAAACACTCATTATAAAATAGGAGGGAATATTACGTGTACACGATCTAACATGGAGGCCATATAAACCGTTTAAAATACATATTAACTGAGCTAGATTAAAAAATATGAAGACTAGTTATTAATTTGAATTTACGAACATATTTTTAATTTTAGTTCATCGAAAATCTATTACTACATCTACTACTTCACAAAGATTATATAATGTTGAATTTATGAGTGGTATTAAATATAGAAGTAGAAATCTTTTCATGGAATATGAAAAGATTTATAAAATATGATACCCTTTATAAAATGTAACAGGTGTAAATATCTCAAACTTAATATATTTTTAATTGACGTATTTTTTTGAATTTTTGGTAGTTTTATAAATTAAGCTGAATACATTGGAACACCTTGAGTGATTTTCATTAAACAAGCCTGAAACTGTCATGTTGTTATG